TTTTAGCAACTAAAATTTTTTGGTATCCACACCGGAAGAGTTCTATTACTTTATGACTTCTTTAGAAATTAATATTTGAAAGAAATTGAGAAATTTTGCCATCTTTTTTTAATAATAAGAGCATGGAAATTATCCCTTAACTGTCTTTATACATATTAAACTGAGGTTTAGGTTTAGAATCATAACCACAAAAAGGTGCAACTCGGAGACCATAAGGTCCAGAGGGTGAAGATCCAAAGATAGAGAAACAAAAAACTAGAAGTGAAAAAAAGAGAGGAATAAAAACAGAACTATTCAAAGGGGTTTTAACCTGAAGGTTTTAACCGAATCGATTTCCAGCGAAAGAATTGTGAGAGGATCTGAATCTTCCATAAAATTTGCTAGGGCTGAGGCTCGAAATTTATCCCAGTTCATCATGGAACCTTTTGCCCAAGCCATTTTAACTTGAGATTCTGTATACTAGGACAGTGGCAAATTATGTGATCAAGACAAATTAGTTGACCAAATTTTATATTTTTGCATTCAAAAGTTTTCAAGACAAATTTGTTGATCAAGGAAGAAATTATATTTTTGGATTGATTATACTTTTGCATTCCAAAATAATTTTCAGGCCAGTTGCTTTAAAATTATAACATCATTATAATTATCATGTTCATCAGACATTTCATTTAAAATAATAAAATATCTTTGCATATTGTCATTTACTAAAAACTACATCTAATAATCTAAAATGTACTAACGAGCTTAAAACATAAAAAATAACAACGATATTGTAGCATCTTGATAATTAAAGAAATTGGAAGTATATGTACTAAGATAATTGATCATATTTTGAATCTCTAATATGATTGAATATCTATAAATAAAAATAATAGAACAACATAAAACACTATCTAACAAGGAATCCCATTAATGTGTTAATGACAATTATTTTGTTAACACAATAAATGGATTTCTTGTATTAAAATTCCCTCTATTGGAAATAGGTTTTTTCGGCCTGTGGTTTTTTGGATGTATATTTTTGCGGTTTCCTTTATAGAAATATATGAGAAGACTGGTATTTAAAATTATTTGAAGTTTTTTCAATTCGTTAACAGTGACTTATAATGATATTGCAATTAAGATTAAAATGTATCTTAGGATGAACTTTTTGTTCCGTACACGTTCTTTTTCTTTTAGTAGGAGGAACGTTTACGGAATACACTTGGAGTTCTGATACGCGTATAGTTCAATAAAACTATGTCACTGTTTTGAATTGAAAAACTAATTGGTTATTTTTCTTTTCTGTTGTATAAATTTTAGTTGTAGACTTAGGGGATGTTTGTTTTCCTTAAAACCACAGGCTGTTCCAATGGTGACGTTTCCTTCATTAATTATGAAATATCACTAAATAAAAGGTGCTACAATATTGATTAAACTGGTAAGAGCTCTTCTACTTAATTCAAAATTAATTTACTATTACAAGCAGCTGAGGTTTTCTTGTTTTTGTAAACAACATTTATGTTTTATAGGAGTTTCATGGCAGAAATGCATATTTTTGTGCGTGATTTAAAGAGAACTATAACCGCTCGTGAGACGGGTTCTAACAAACAATCGGCCAGTAAATCATGTGCTTTGTCACTGGTTCGTCAACTTTATCATTTGGGTGTAATCGAGGCATATTCTGGCACCCTTAAGCAAAAGAAAGATGATGAGGAATTAGCTCCCTATGAGGTCAATGTAGCCCCAGAACTTGTTCAAAAGATAGAAGAAGTTGTGCGTGAATTGGATTTACCCGTTGTAGACATGAATAATATTAAACCAGATCCTGAAACTAATGTTGTTAGTTTACAGGTATAAGGAGGCTAATAAAGCTAATAAATTAAGTACTAATGATAAATGAAATGTTTTTAGGTTAATACCGGTAAAGACAGCAATCGCTTACGTATGGATAATCAGCAATTGGTAGCCTCTATTATTCCATGGGCCCCACCCCAGCCAAATTGGAATGCCTGGAATGCTTGTAATATTGATGAGGGTTATTTGGCTACTGCCTCTTTAGATGACTTGTGTAACGATTTAGAAACTAGCAGCAAAGAAATGCGTTTAAATAATCCCGAATATCAGAAATTCTTAGATTTTCGTGAGAAATTACCGATTGCTGCTATGCGAGCTGAAATCATGGAAGCCATTAATGAAAATCCCGTTGTAATTATACGTGGTAATACTGGTTGCGGTAAAACAACACAAATCGCTCAATACATTCTCGAAGATTATGTATCTTCGGGTCAGGGGGCATATTGTAATATTTACGTTACTCAACCTCGTCGTATATCGGCCATCTCGGTAGCCGAACGTGTGGCTAATGAACGTTGCGAGAATCTTGGAGAATCTGTGGGTTATTCGGTACGTTTTGAAAGTGCTATGCCTCGTCCTTATGGAGCTATATTATTCTGCACTGTTGGTGTTTTGTTGCGTAAGTTGGAGGCTGGTTTACGTGGTGTTTCGCACATTATTGTTGATGAAATTCATGAACGTGATGTTAACAGTGATTTCTTGTTGGTAATTTTGCGTGACATGGTGCATACTTATCCTGATATACGCATTATTCTTATGTCAGCTACTATTGATACTACTCTGTTCTCAGAGTACTTTGGACGTTGTCCCGTAATGGAGGTGCCCGGTAGAGCTTACCCAGTGCAACAGTTTTTCCTTGAAGATTGTCTTGAAATGACAAAATTTGTACCCACACCCGAATCACGCAAGAAAAACAAAGATAAGGATGATGAAGAGAATGCCGTCGTTAAGGAAAATGGTGATGACATGTCGGAACAAAATCTCAACAAAGTTATCGACTCATCTTATTCGCAACAAACCAAAAATGCAATGGCTCTTTTATCGGAATCGGAATGTTCATTTGAGCTCATTGAGTCATTGTTGCTTCACATTAAATCGAAAGATATTCCCGGTGCTATTCTAATTTTCTTACCCGGTTGGAATTTGATATTTGCTTTGATGAAATTCTTGCAAAATTCTCAATTTGGTGGACCACAATATCGTATTTTGCCCTGTCATTCACAAATTCCTAGAGAAGATCAACGTAAAGTTTTTGAGCCAGTACCAAATGGAGTTACCAAGGTAAGTGATTGGATTTTCTTTGTTGGTTAAACAAAAGTTAATCCATTTTTTTAATTTTGTGGTTTACAGATTATTCTTTCTACCAATATTGCTGAAACATCTATTACAATCGATGATATTGTATTTGTAATTGATTTGTGCAAGGCTCGCATGAAGATGTTCACCTCTCATAACAATCTAACAAGTTATGCCACCGTTTGGGCTAGTAAGACCAATTTGGAACAACGTAAAGGTCGTGCTGGTCGTGTTAGACCCGGCTTTTGTTTTACCTTGTGCTCTAAGGCACGTTTCCAAGCCTTAGAAAATCATTTAACACCGGAAATGTTCCGTACCCCACTACATGAAATGGCTTTGACCATTAAACTTCTACGTTTGGGATCTATACATCAATTCTTGTCGAAGGCTTTGGAGCCACCACCATTGGATGCTGTAATAGAGGCCGAAGTGCTTTTGCGTGATATGCGTTGTTTGGATAACAATGATGAGCTAACGCCCTTGGGTCGTATATTGGCCAGGTTGCCAATTGAACCACGTTTAGGAAAAATGGTGGTGTTGAGTACCGTATTTGGTTGTGCCGACATTGCTGCCAGTATGGCTTCTTATTCCAGTACATTTTCAGAGATCTTTGCTTTGGACTTGGGCCAAAGACGTTTGCAAAATCATCAAAAATCTTTAGGTGGTACTAAATGTTCTGATCATGTAGCCATGATTGTTGCCACTCAGATGTGGGAAAATGCTCGCCATAAGGGAGAGGATGAAGAAATACGTTTTTGCGAATGGAAAGGACTCCAGCTGTCTACTATGCGTGTTATGGCTGAAGCTAAGAGTCAACTTTTAGATTTATTACAACAAGCTGGTTTCCCAGAAGAGTCCATGATTTCTGGCCGCATTGATGCCAACTCGGATGATCCAGTCCTTGACATGGCCACTGCTCTACTTTGCCTGGGTCTATATCCAAATGTCTGCTACCACAAGGAAAAACGTAAGGTCTTGACCACTGAATCTAAGGCAGCTTTAATACACAAAACCTCGGTAAACTGCAGCAATTTGGCGGTGACCTTCCCCTATCCATTCTTTGTTTTTGGTGAAAAGATTCGTACACGCGCTGTGTCATGTAAACAAATGACCATGGTAGCACCTTTACATTTGCTGTTGTTTGGTTGTCGTAAAATCGATCTCGTAAAAGGCAATATTGTACGTTTAGATAATTGGCTTAATTTCAAAATGGATCCATATTTAGCCTCAATGATTGCTGCTCTTAAACCAGCTTTGGAAGACTTGGTATCGACAGCCTGTGATGAACCGTCAGAAATTATGCAGTTAAATGAATCACAATCGAAACTGGTGGATGTGGTAAAGGATCTGTGCACCTTAGCTGCTGGTGATTATCAAATACAGCGTGAAAAGGGTGTTATGCCTTTCCAGAGTCGTGGCGCTGGTGGCAGCGGTGGTAGTGGCATACCAAATAAGAGAGGCAGATTTGATGGTGGCAGCCGAGGTGGTTATGGCGGTGGTGGTTTTGGAGGTGGTGGTTTTGGTGGTGGCTACGGCGGTGGCAATCGTTTCGGTGGTGGAGGCGGTAGCTTTGGCGGCCGTGGAGTTGGTACTAGCAATTGGGGACGTTATGGAGGTGGCGGCGGTAATCGCCGATTTTAAATACATATAGAACTTTAATGTAGCCAGCATAAAGCGTACGGGTTAATAGTCAACAATTGTACGTTTGATTTCAATATTTACCGCTTATTAATTAATAAAGACACCTTAGTATTTAAACGTATTAAAAAAAGAAGTTTTATTAAAAGTTTCTTTATGACATTTAGTTAAAAGCTTTATTATCTAATAATGGCCCACCTTTGGTTTAATTCCAAGTCAAATTTTCTCTCTACACTTAATGATCTTCATAAAAAGCTAAAGCAACTGCTAGCAATACAGCTGCAAAAATACCAGCATATACTCCAACTAATTTCCAATTGATAGGATCTTTTTGTTTTACTTCTAAAGTTTTACGTTCTTTGGGTTTGCGCTTGCTAAATTTCTTTTCAAATTGTTCTACTTCCAAACGATTACGTTCTTCTTCCTGTTTACGTCGTAATTCCTCTTCCTTTTGTCGTGCAAGCTCTAGTGTCTTTTGTGTTTCTATGCAATTTTCATCGCATTGTAATTTTTGTAGACCAGCTCGATGTTTATCACAGGAAATTTCCGTTTTTAAACGTTTACAATCGCAGTAGATGCGTAATTTCTTGCGGCAAGATTCGGGATAGGGACAAGGACCAGAATGACATTTAGCTGCGCAACGATGACCGCAAGGATACTAAAATAGTTTAAACAAAATGCTGGTTAATGTATTTTGTTTTAGAGAATTAATGAGACTTACATTTTTTAAACATCTATTACCACAGCTCTTTAAGTTTTCTTGTCTTTCCAAGATTTCACCTTCACTAGCCTCAGAATTGTAATAATCGCTGCATTTATAGATAATGGGCATTAAGCCGCAATGGCATTTAGTTTTAATAGCAACGCTACAAGGATAACAGGGTGGCAGGTGACAAGGTCTTGGGCAATTATGTGTACATCCTTCGGGTCGTGGTATATTACAACCTTGTTCGCAAGGAGCACAACCAGGTTGTTGCTAAACAAAGAAAATTACATTCTTTAAGGCCTCTTTAACAAAATGTATCAAGTACCTTCATATCTTTTAAATCCGCTACAGCATGACATACTAAAGAGCACTTGTGATTGCCGCAGCTTAAGAAACGATTACACAAACGCTGACAGGATGTTGGTTTAGAATTCCAACAGGGCCAATCAGCTACTTCATGTCCTCCGATGCAGGTTACGCTTACTTTTTGTTCACAACGTGGATGAGGCATTTGTTTAAATTCAAACTAAAATGGACCAATAATAACAGAATATTACTCTTAAATAATAACAAGAGTTTGCAGTAACAACTACCTGCTTAGTAGGCTCCCATATGCTGGTAGTATCGGGATTAGCCTTCTTGGCCACCTTAACCGAGGCATGACATTTCGCCATACACTTGTGATCACACTTGGTGGTGTCATTTGCTAAACCACAAGGTTGTGCACAAGGTGGGCACTCATTTTTATGACAGCGATGCTTATTTTCATGATGGCATTTAGAAGGTATGCTGAAATGCTAAAATTTAGACACATTTAAATATAATAATAGAATATTTCAAAAACTCACCGACATGGTTCCAAACAAACTACACGGGCTGTACGTTCCCGACCACAGGGAACGCTCTTTTTACTTTTACCACAACGACAATTGATTTGCGACTTTTGCTGACATGGATAACAGGGGCCCTTATGGCAAATCGATTGACATTTATGTTTACCACAGGACAAGGGTTTGCCGCACACTTTGTCACATGGTGGGCAGTTTCTATCGCAGCACTAGAATGTTTTTTGTTTAAGAAAAACGTTTTTCATTTGTATATATTATAATTTTACCTTACGATTGCAGGGATGTTTGCCACAATCTCGTGTTTGTTTACACTTGGTTTCACATGTAAATTCCTTGGAACAGGGTAGTTCTTTTTCGTGCATACCACAGCGGCATTTCTTTTTCGTTATAATCAAACACTAAAATGGTAAAGACAATATAAGTGATTAAATTTTTTTCAAATTTTACTAATCAAGTTTAGTTACAGACTGTCCAATCATTAGGATGCGTAGTCGTCCATTTAATTTTACTAAACTTACCAAATTACAATTTCCCTTGTGACAGCGTTGTGTGCAAGTATGTATGCCACAAGCTAATAGCTTTTGGCAAGTATCACCACAAGTATCTATTACTTCCGAACAGGGACCAACTTTTTTCTATAAGATAAAATCGCTCAATTTGCATTATTAACAGGAATTTATACTATATCTACTTACAGTTTTACCACAAGGACAGGAACGTGGTAAACTTAAAGGACAATCTCCACAGTCACCCGAATGGCAAACTTTCTTGCAAGTATGCAAGCCACAAGAATATGGCTTACCACAGGGTTTTTTACAATGCCATTTCTGATCGCAACATGGACGTTTTGCCTTTTCAAGTCCACATTCACATGGTTGCATACTTGTCTGCTGACAGGGTGGACACTGTCCTGGCTTGTGGCATACCTTTTTGCAAACATGCTCCTTACAGGGCAATAGCAATTCACATTTCTGTTGACATTCCCACAACTTATTGGCGCAACGTACTGACTTTGCAGGGGATTTGCCACATTTACAGGATGTAATGGCGTATTGGGCGCAAGGTGGACATGGTCCGGGATGACATAGTAAAGTACATTTATGACCACAATTTGGCTGTAGCGCTTTACCACAGATTTCACCGCAAGAGTGGGGTATTAACCAGGGCTGTGAGGGCGGATTTATTTCTTTGCCACAGAAGCACTCATATTCCGAAGGTCTTTCCTCGGGTTGAAATTCTCTTCTACACTGAGGACAACACCAATGTAAGGCTTTGGGCTTCTTAGGTGGCACATATTCTCCCATGTGATTGTAGTAGCCCTGTTCATTTTGCGTTTGAGCCTTTGCCTGGGCCATACTGTCATTAGCCCAACGTTTTATGCAGTTCAAGTGAAAGAAACAATAACAATATTTACAGGACCAAATAGCATTTGAACGCTTAATGCTGCCTATGCAAATAAGACACGTAGCTGCACCAGTTTGTAAAACATTTTCCAAAAAGCCGGCAGTTTTGGCCAATAGCGGTTCATCTTCCGTGCGTTTATCATAGTGCTGGTATAACGATTCTGGGAAAGGTAATTATGTAAAATTTAAATGTATTCCTTTCTATTTTCATTAATATTTACTTAAAATAGTATTTTCATCCAATTCTTCTTCATCTTCTGACGACGAAACGTAGTTTTCAACCAGTTTTTTGGCCACTTCAATGTTTCTGGCGTGAGTCTCATTGAATTTTTGTGTTGGATTTTTAGCAGAGTTTTGTTGTTTGACCTTTGTTGGCGGCATTATGGAGAAATAAAATTAGTAAATTTATTTATTTGTTCTACCGGTGTACACGTAGAAATATTTTTTTTTTGCAATTTTATTAACAAATTTTATCAGTCCAATTGGCATGAATAAAGTTGCCATGTTATTTCCAAAAAAAGCGTTGCCATCGTATACGTCTTTTGTCTAAAGAAACAGTACTGATTAAAAAATTAGTATCAAAATTATTTGAAGGAATAATGAACTGCATTATTTTAAGGTTCTATGGATAATACTGGCATAGATCTCAATATATATTCATATATTTTTAAGGAAGACGGTTTTTATAATTATTAGAGGGCCAATTATTATCTAATTCTAATATTATAGTTTATATAGTTTATATTCTTAGAAAACTTATTAATTTATGTCGAATTTTAGTTTAGTTTAGGTTTTATAGGCTGCCGTAATACCAAGAGTACAACAACAAAGCATAAACTTTTGACATTTAAAAAGTCTGAAGTCAACATTTCAGCAGCTTTTGCAAAAAATTTGTGGAAAGAGGTATTTCAAATACAGCTCAAAAATTAAGTATACGGTTTTATGAAAAAGAGATTTTTTGATTTTTTTGATTTTTTATTCATCCTTTATTAATTGGTTTATTTACAATATATACAAAATTTTGAGATTTTATCAATTAGATATTACAGCAAATAACATAATGGAATTATGTGTTTCTGACGTGGCGTCGGGGGTGATGCGCAATAGTTTTGTCTTCTAAATGTTTGAAGGGAACTGACAAGCCCCAATTTCTTTATATTCTTTGCTTCTAACCAAAGAATATAAAGAAATTGGGGCTTGTCAGTTGGTACGTAAAGGAGTTGTCATTCGGTTCCTAACTCTAAGTATGTATTGGTAGAATTTTTGTATTAGTATTGGAGCTCCAACCACTTTCACCACACTTTCCAAACATACATACTTGCATAAAATCGTACATAAAAATTTTAGGAAAAATAAATAACATTTAAATTTCTACATTCGCAGATTTTTTAATTTATTTTGCCCACATCTAATCACTAAACATTTAATAAATATATTTTTCGGACTTAAAATCTCTTTTTTTTTTTGCAAAAAAATAAGTTTATTTTAAATATTTTTTTCATTTTCAATACCAAAATATACAACTTTGTTTTGTCAATTTTAATTTCAACACACAAAAATTAATTGTCAAAAAAATTAAAAAAATATTTTTTTAGTTTGTGAAAAATAAAAATATTTCAGATTGTTAAATGCGATAAAATTGTGTAAAAAATTAAAAAATAGTTATGTGTTTGTGAAAAAACGTCGTTCAAGTCCTATTATCCCGGTATTTTCGCGAAAAAGTTTTGAAGTATTGTGAGAGAATTGAGTTCTCACAAGTGTGTTGAATTTACACAGAACTCGTCTGTGAAGAGAAGGAAATGTTATTGTTGTAAAACAATGTCATAGTCCAACTTCTTATTATTCTTTGGTTAGAAGTAATAAAGTGATATTCGTTCTAATTTAACGTTTGACAGATATATTTCTTAGAAGTCCCTAAAGTCTAATCATTATAGGGAAGACAGAAATTTGCAGTGACTAGAGATAATTGACACAAGTGTGGTCAACTGCAATCTGCTGAGACCTACTAGGCATTATGTTTTGTATGTATCCATACGAGCCCACTGCGTCCTAATAATTCAGCAAGTCACCATTGGTGAACTATGCTATTAAAATTATCAAAATGTTTATTCTTTTAAATAGCCATAGAAGTTGATTATTAATCGTAATCGAAAGTTTTACAGCTATGCATAGAACTGATCTACATGTATGTATATCATGAGGAGTCATCATGGTTCTAGTATTCGCTAGAGTATTAGCAATTTTATTGCCAATTAGGTCCCATGTCCCTTTTTTCAGATAAGGATAATTAAGGAATGTCTCGCCATCTATTTGGAGACGTCCGCTGTAAATTTTGATATCTCTATTAGATATTACCTATTTGATAGTACCTAATATTTCAGTTTGGACAATCATCCTAAAGTCCAAAGGTTCATCAGCATAAAAGTGGAAACAGTCTTCAGTTTAAGGAGTTAATTCAAAAGAATCCGTAGACATATATCGTTAATCCTAATTTGTATAAGGCAATCTTTAGTGTGAAAATGATTTTCCAAATGTAACTTAACGAAGAGGACAACGATGACCTTTGGTGGGGATATAAAACTCCACATAAGGAGAAAAAATAAAATACACAATAGATATAGCAGCAAATTTACATAAAATCGTTTATTTTAAAATAGTATAATAATAGTACATAACAAAAATTTATATTTAAAGCCATGGTTACAAATTTAGGTAAAATCTTTAATACGATTTTAAGTTGACATAATTATTGGCCAGCAATCTGAAAGATAACGTAAATTATTTATCATTATTTAAAAAATCGTAATTAGAATGCTATAGTTATTAATACTTACAACAACAAGATGTCCACTTTTATCACGTACTACACCTGGTTCACCACCACCAGTTTGAATATCAATAACACCAGATTTACCCTTGGCCATATTATGCTCCAAACTGTGATTACGGAAAATAAGTATTGTTGAAATTGTTTTATTAAAAAAAAAATATTTCTTCCATTTAAACTTACGAATCTCTTTCCACAATCTTAAGCACATCAGCCGTACCCACAGTATCAATAATGAAGGTGCAGAATTCAATTATGTAAGGTATGAGCAGGATAAGATCACCTTTGTCTTTTTTCAAATCGAGGGGAATACGTATGACCATTAAATCATCACTGTGGTTGGTTAAATCAAAGTCTAACTTCTCCAGTGGCAAACGATGTTTTTGCTTATACGTCTTGCCATCTAATACGTAAATTGCTTTATTGCTTAACAGTATGAAACGATCACGAGACTTGTAACCGTGACGATCGTATTTAATGCAGGAAGAGGAATATTTAAGGGTTTCACCATTGAAATTGTTACCAATGAAGTTGTTGATGGCAGTATTATGTTCCGAGGGTATGCGATCGGTCTTAAACCAATGAGGTACACTTTGGGGATAGCTACTCTTTTTATCTGAAAATGTCATAGACGTTTAGAATTAATGTTTGTTAATAAATGGGACGAAAAACTCGGTACTACTAGAACTGATGTTCAACTGAGGTAGAATTGAGTAAGGACTGAGTAAGAACTGAACTACAGCTTAACTAAATCTGTACTAGAACTTAAAAAAAAAAAAAAAACTGAACTAGAATTAAACAAGAACTGAACTAGAATTGGACTAGACCTAAATTATAGTAAAACTAAACTAGAACTAGGATGGACCTAGAATTAAGAACAGAAATTGAATTTGTATGTCTTACCTTTGAATACTTTTTCAGCCAAAACCTTCAATTCAAATTGTCTCTTCTTTTCTTCTGATAAAGCTAAACGATATTTACGTGCCAGATGTAATCTATGTAAACGATGCAAATAGGTGGAGGCCTCTTGACAATGACTGGGAGCCGAAGGCCATCTCATATCAAGAACTTTTGTGGGTAAATCTTTAGATAATCTCAAGAGCCACATACGTTTGGTATTAGCAATGAATTTTTCATTGTAACCGTTGGGTGGATCGTTGCGCGTGATAAAACCTTTGATGAAGGCACGTATCTTATCGGCAGCTTCACGACGTTTCTTGGCCGCTTGTTGGGCCAAATAGCGGCGACAGAACGATTGTAGAGTGATAACTTGCTCGCGTAATTTTAAGTATTTTCTGCGTTGTTGACGTCCCTTCCAGCGAGCTTGTAAAATGGCAGCAATATCGTGTTTCTTTTCTTGGAAGGCATCTTCCGTATCGAAGAGAGTCTTGGGGAAACGTATAAATAGTTTAGTTTCACCCAAACGGTAGTCTTCAGGTCCGTAGTTAAGTTCCTTAACCAAAAGTTTAACGCCTTCCTTGGCGGGACCATTGTAGTTGGGCCAAGTTTGTTTGCTCAAGCACTTATAACGATTAAGGAACATGTCGTAAGTTCTTCTATAGGCGAAACCAGCTCTACGTACACGTAAGTTCTCCATAAGACCCAAATATTTAACTTGATGCAAAACTAGATCGTCATTGAAAATGCCGGGTGATTGAAGATCGTTAGGTTTGATGCAACGAATATAAGAAGGTTCCTTGCACATTAAAATGTCCATTAAATTGTTAAGGGATGTTCTAAACTGGGTGACAGCAGTTTCAGGTCTCTTCTTATTCAGATATTCCGACTCTGGGAAACAAACACGCACAACATTATTATCGGCTTTGCTCATGGTTTCCTTCAAATCACGGAACAACAAGTCATTATTCTTGTCTAAGAAACTGTTGACATTGTAAGTCACATCACCAGCATAGTGAACTAGACGGAACTCGTTACGTCCCATAGTTTTTTGTACATGTATGGGAGCCTTTTCATGGCACAAATAGTGAGGATGATCACCCAAACGATCGGTCAGTTTAGCCAAGAATGTCATATCGGTGGGTTCGCCGGGACGTAAACATTCTTCATCCAATATGGATATAATACCCTTATGTTTCTCTTCAATTAAGTTGCAAATAACTTTATTATCGAAATATTCTACTGGCACCCATTCAATGCCTTCACGTCTATATTCATCTTGTTCTGATTTTAGGGTCAATTCAATGAATAATTGTTGCAATTTTTCGTTACAGAAATTAATACAGAATTGTTCGAAACTATTGGTTTTGAAAATTTCAAAACCATAAATATCCAAAATACCCATAACATTATTGCGAGCTGTTCGCAAATCCTTGGCCTGTAGAGAGATATTGAGGCGTGTCACCAACCAAGAGAACAAACGATCATAAACGGCCTTAGCTAAAGCGTCACGAGCATAAATGGCCATTTCGCGGCTTAAGGGTGAAGTGACTACATCACCTCTGGCATCGATGGTGCGATGAGTCAAAGCATCGTTTAACTCATTCAAATCGACACCCAAAAGTTTGGCTACCGTTTTCACTACATCCGAATTCTTAATCTTAGCTTTGCCTTCCTCTTCGTCAAATTGCACATTACCCAAATGTAAAACACTAGCAATAATGTTAAAGACCTCTTTTTGTTCATGAGACGAAAAATCAATGACAGTCATGGCCTGTTGCACTTGCTTA